GATGAGAAGAACAATGAACCTGTGTCCTCTTAGCATTTTGTATAGACTTCCCATTACTGCTATTTCACTGCGTCATCAAAGGTTTTCACAAAGCTCTTTCTTTCTGGAGTAGAATTTCTCAAGGGCAGAATTCATGTTTGTTAAATGAATAAATGAAAAAAAAATGATAACATTAACTCTCCCAGGATGAGGAGGTGATGCCTCCCTCCGAGGGTGTTGGAGGACCGGGGCCTTAAATTCTCTGTTCTACAGCATGGAGTGTTTACCAGAGATTTGCTGACTGGACTTGAGTCAGATTGGCTGAAAATTGTCCTCGGTGTATTTCCTTGCATACAAACCACTTGAGAGTGTTATTCTTTCCCCCCTTTTAATTAAGTCAAGAGACATTCTTTTAATTCAGATTTCTTCTGTAGAGAATGTGAGAGAATTTTACTGAGATTCAAAAATATCAATAATTAGAAATGGATAAAATACATATGTAAATCACAAAATATTATTGCTAAAGTTGCTTTTAAAACTAAGGGTGTCTTGTGGAGAAGAGGGAGGGGCAAGAAGGTAAAGAGGGCATATGGTGATGGAAGGAGATGTGACTTTGGGTGGTAAACACGCAATACAATATACCGATGATGCATTATAGAATTATATGCTTGAGACCTATATAATTTTGTGAACCAATGTCAACCCAATAAATTCAATAAAATTTTTTAAAGATGGCAAAAAAAACCCCACAATAGCAACTACATAGAAGCATTTTAAGTATTCAGTGAAATAACATATGTAAAGCATCTAGTCCAGTGCTTCCTCAATTTCATTCTTTCACATAATAGTATATTTCCTGAGTTTCTATTATGTGTTGGACAGACAATGTTTTAAGTACTGGTGTAAGATAGTAAAAGAAAAAGGGGGGTGGGAGGATAAAATCCTGCCCTTGTGAACCTTGGGGATGGAATGGCAGGCAGGGAAACTGACAGATATTCAAATGAAAAATGCTATGAACAAAAGCAAGCAGGGATGGGAGACCAGAGTGCCATGGAACAGTCTGAGGGCCTCGCTGAGTGGTGATACTTGAGCAAAGAGCTGATGACGTGGGAGAGTGTCCTATGAGGACATGTGGGGAAAAGAGTCTCAGACAAAGAAGACAAGAAAGATAAGGGCCCCATCAGATGGAAGTATGCCTGGCCCAATAAATGCCACGCGATGCTTCTTCCCACCATGCTCCCACACCTCAGCCCTGTGGTTCTCCTGATGGTGATTCCCATGATCATATCGACCTAAGGTACATAAGTATGGGCCACATGTATGTACATAGATGTAGGGACATCCTTGACAAAGACCTAGTTCTTTTCTTAAAATATATTTTATTGATTTTTTACAGAGAGGAAGGGAGATAGAGAATTAGAAACATTGATAAGAGAGAAACATCGATCAGCTGCTTCCTCCACGCCCCCTACTGGAGATGTGCCCGCACCCAAGTTACATGCCCTTGACCAGAATCAAACCTGCGACCCTTGAGTCCGCAGGCCGATGCTCTATAAACTGAGCCAAACCGGTTAGGGCCAAAGACCTAGTTCTTGCAGTATGCCTCAAAGGGTATAGAGTAGTCCTGCCCAGTTTGACTCAGTGGATAGAGAAACTTCCTGTGGACTGAAGGGTCCTGGGTTTGATTCTGATCAAGGGCACATGCCTGGGTTGCGGGCTTGATCCCCAGTAGGGGATGTGCAAGAGGTAGCCGATCAATGATTCTCTCTCATCATTGATGTTTCTATATTGCTCTCCCTCTCCCTTCCTCTCTGAAATCAATAAAAAAATATTTTTTTAAGGAAGGGTATAGAGTAGCCAAGATGAAGTTGTGGCAAGATCATTCCTGACTAACTGATTTACCATGTTGTTAAAGTGCCTGGGTTTCCAGACCTACCGCAGGACCCTACGTAACATCGAATGTAGATGGAATATGGGGCATTGGTAATGGAGTACAGTGGAAAACAACTGTTACCAGTGTCCAGCACAATGTTCTAAATTCTGTTTCAGCTCTAACATCTATAATTCTATGCTATATAAAAAGAGCAAAGGGAAAATTCATTACCTGTACTAAGGGTTGAACGGGCCTTTGTGGGTTGACCTGGAAACCGGACAAACATTTCTAACATTTTCTTTACAGAAACATGAGTTCTGGGTTTCACATGCTACACTTATAGACTATTCATGAGTTGGAGACTTCCTGTGGTGGGTCAGAGCGTCCCCGGTGGCCTTGCACAGGAAGAGATTACAGAGCAAAGCAAGAAACTACTATAGCTGGCTCAGTGTGGGAGGAGCACTAATCATGACAGAGAGCCCAGACACCCTTGGAGAGCCATGTCCACAGCATTGCATGATAGCTGCTAAAACAGAAGGCAGGCGCCCAGCCAGCATGGCTCAGTAGTTGAGTGTTACCTTGTCCGATTCCAGTCAGGGCCTATGCCTGGATTTCACTCCCCAGCAGGGGGCATGCAGGAGGTAACCAGCCAATGATTCTCTCTCATAATTGATGTTTCTATCACTCTCTCCCTCTCTCTTCCTCTCTGAAATCCATAAAAATACACTTAAAAATAATAAATGAATTAATAAATAACTATAACAGAAGGCAGGCAACCCCGTCTGTAGAAGTCAACGGACTGGTGGAGCTCTGTAAAGAGAAATCCTAAACATGTTAACATGCTTTTCTCTTCACATTTGGGAACCTGTGCCCGTCTCTGGAGGCAGCCTGAGTCATCATCTGTCTCAAGGATTAAGATTGTTGCAGCAAGAATTTGAGTGGGGGAAAATACTTTGATTGTTTTAGTATTTGAAATAGAATTTTGTAACAGAACACTAAGCTTCGAAATCAGGCTTCACTTACAGAGTCAGAAAGTTGTTCTAAATTCTTTTGTTTCCTTCTTTAACTCAAAAATCCATACAGGATGAAAACGTTTGTACAGGAAATAAAAAAATAGGTGAGGGAAAGCCTTTCTCTTTAAACCCAGGGAAGAGTAGCAAAGACATAGGAGAAAGAAGCTGACTGAATAACCGTTGCCAGCAAGCTTCTTCACACTCCCTTTGGCATTAAGAAGTTTGCACCATGAATGTGAACCAACTCACTGCTTTTTTCATTCAGGAAATCTAATTCAAAATCATTTAATAATTGACTGAACTACCAGAGTGTGCTAAGTGATAAGTAAATACTGAATACCATCAAGGCCAATATGTTTCATTCAAATCATTCTCATTATTATGTATTAATGTGGCAACTGACCCCATAACAATAGCAAAAACAACAAGAAAACCCACTATGTGGGAAAACATATTTGCCAATGTCATATCTGATAAGGGCCTAATCTCCAAAATTTATAGGGAACTCACACAATGAAGAAACCAGTTTAAACTCGATGGGAATAA